TATATGATGATTCTAGGTGTATGCATGTCTGCTTATATGATCTAACGATTAAATTGTTATCTCATGATCACCTCTTGGTGAAACTGGCCAATTGTCGCCTTGGGTCCACCATGATCCACTGGCTGGAAAATTGACTCTGTGGTCGGACCCAGAGGGTAGTAATTGATGGAAGTCACTCATCATGGTGTCCTGTGACCGGTGGGGTCCCCCAAGGCTCTGTCCTTGGACCCATATTGTTCAACATCTTCATTAATGATGTGGACACTGGAGTCAGAAGCGGACTGGCCAAGTTCGCCGATGACACCAAACTTTGGGGCAAAGCATCCACACAAGAAGACAGGCAGGTTATCCAGGCTGACCTGGACAGGCTCAGCAAGTGGGCGGACGAGAATCTGATGGTGTTCAACGCCGATAAATGCAAGGTTCTCCACCTTGGGAAAAAAAACCCGCAGCATCCTTGTAAAGTGACCAAAACGCTGGCTTGCATCCATAGATGCTTCTCAAGCAAATCCCAGGATGTCATTCTCCCCTTGTACTGGGCCTTGGTGAGGCCACAGCTGGAGTACTGCATCCAGTTTTGGGCTCCACAATTCAAAAAGGATGTGGAGAAGCTTGAGAGAGTCCAGAGAAGAGCCACGCGCATGACCAGAGGTCAGGGAAGCAGACCCTACGATGACAGGCTGAGAGCCCTGGGGCTCTTTAGCCTGGAAAAGTGCAGGCTCAGGGGTGATCTGATGGCCACCTATAAGTTTATCAGGGGTGACCACCAGTATCTGGGGGGAACATTTGTTTGCCAGAGCGCCCCAACGGATGACGACTAGGTCGAACGGTCATAAACTACTACAAGACCGTTTCAGGCTGGACATAAAGAAGAATTTCTTTACTGTCCGAGCCCCCAAGGTCTGGAACAGCCTGCCACCGGAGGTGGTTCAAGCGCCTACATTGAACACCTTCAAGAGTAAACTGGATGCTTATCTTGCTGGGATCCTATGACCCCAGCTGACTTCCTGCCCTTTGGGCAGGGGGCTGGACTCGATGATCTTCAGAGGTCCCTTCCAGCCCTAATGTCTATGAAATCTGTGAAATGTTGCTTTGCACCATGTCATGAAAATCAGTAGGTTTAATTCAGGACAGAACTTAATCCTTTGCATTTCCAGTGAACCATTTGTTTAGCAATTCCAGTTTTTTACGAGTTGACATATGTCAATCAATATTTATCAGGGAAATAACACCTTATACATTTTCAATGCAATTTTTGTTCATATGCAGTGGAATCAATGCAGATAGCACAAAAACAGCATTGAAAATGTTCCCATTCCTTATTTTTTCCCTGAATTTATAAATTTGTGGTCACATATATGAAAATGTTTAACAGTAGGCTTCAATGGGAATAGTATTAGGCCAATACTGCACCCTTTGGAAAATGCCACCCTGAATTTCTAAGGCCATTTCAGCCCACACGCCAGAGGACCGAAAGTTGTTTATTTTCTTTTTCTTTACTAATGGTAGCCCTATGAGTCACTCTCCACAGCACAAGCTCTGTGGTCCGTGACGGGCTGCTGAGAAGAGCTGCAGGAAGTACTCCCAACTGAACCATTTAGTCTGCAAATAGGGACTGACCCATTTATTGAGCACAGTATCCAAGTTTCTTTCAGATTTGCTCCTTGCATTCTTGTCTTCCTGTTCTGCAACAACTTTGGGTTTTTGTTTTTTTTATTTTGTCCTGTCTCTCTTTCTTTTTTCTAGAATCTCATCCCTCTCTTTACTGTGAGATC